AAATAGAGAAATAGGATAAGCAACCGTTCCATGCGCGAACATGCGTTCAATATGAGAAAGGGAACGCATCTTATGATAATTAGCTTATTTCAGTTATCTATATTGCAGGAGAATAGAAAAAAAAATTAAAATATCAGCTATAAAGCTCTGAGGATGATGACGAACTGTTCGAATGACAAAAGCTTCAAACTTTTTGTTTATTTGTTTTCTTTTTTTTGCTCGTGACGTTTTTGACCAGCTTTCATTCGTTTACTGCCTTTTAGAGCACAACAACACTATGAATGTGAAGTGACCGAATGCTGACTTTGAGATTTTTTTTTATAATCTCTGTAAAGGGATCTACCCTCTGAGGAATTTGATAAAATGATGAAATGTTTCAGAAGATTTCAATCAACAACAGTTTAATGAATTGAAAACTTGCAGATGGTCAATTACAATGAAAAATCAAAATTTCTAGAAAGTTTTTTTCAATAAAGAAACAACGATAAAGAGAGACAAAATGAAGAGAAAAGAGAAGGGAAAATAAAGAGATTTTGTAACTGAGTGACTATAAGATCTCAAGGAACAGAAGAAGAAGCGTTCATGGGAGAGGACGGAAGATAGGATGAGAAAGAGAGAGAGAGAGAGATTTGCAGAGAGCCTGAGGAGTTATCAAAGTATAATGATGTTTCGGTTTGAGAAAAAAAAAACTTAAGATATTGACATAAAAGTCAATAAAAGTATTCTTGAAATATGAAAACAAAAAAGAAGTTGGTTAACAGCTGAATAACTGGTTACCAAACTGTTTCAATTAAGTATCGATAGAGTGTTAAATAGCTATGGAATACTGAAAAAAAAAGTTGCCAAGATCAAAAGAACTGAACGGAGAGAAGGAGCGAGAGAAATTTGAAAAAGAGAAGGAGATAAGAAGAGAGAAAAAGATATTTTAAAGAGAAATAGATAGGTTGTTGGGACAAAAAAAACTTTTTCTAACTCTCTACACGAAACTTTTATTTCCAATTGAAGCTTAAGTTATACCTGGTTATCCAATGGGGTTGATGAAGTGTAGAAGAGAAATCGCTCTCCTGCATTTGCTGGTCTAGCAAGATCTATCATGATTAGGCAACTTTAGAGCAATTATAGCTCTACTTGACGACTTCAGAATCAACGAAGATACTGACGAGTAACAGACGCCTCAATAGAATGCTGGCAACTAATATGACAGTTTACTCACACACAATTCATCTTTTTTTTCTTATTTTTCCTTCTAATACTGCTCAATGCTCTCTGAACATGCTGGTCGAGTTCCGGACACGTTTTCACGTCCGGAACGTCAAAAGAACTAGAGTTAAAGCTTGCTTAGGTCCACAAGAAGGCTGGTTACTCAGAAAGCTTCCCACTCAGAATAACCAGCTTGGGCTATTTTTAGATTAAGATATGCTCATTTTGCCATACAGAACACCAGAAACTTGCCGAAGATCAACAGAAAATAAATAAATAACAGCTTGTAGCTTCAAGTGCAAATATTTTGATGATGAACCGCATGAAGAAAACGTCTCTATTGCATTAAGCTCTCTCTTATCTTGCTCTTTAGCTCATCACATTTCTCTCTCCTTCAAATTTTATAAAATAGCACATCTTCTATTCTCCCAAAATGATGTTCTAGTGTGTCAGTTAGAAAATGGTTGCCCAAAATTTCGAAACGAAATAGGTATTGAAGAGTTACATGATACGTCAAGTAACTTTTCATTTTTCAGTTTTATCCGCTGTGAGCGGTTGTTCTCAATTTTATGATCTGCGGGCATGGTAAGCGGTTGTGGCAGTCGTTTAAGAAAATAATGATACCTACTCCTTATAACATTTTGATGAATAAAAATATATAAATATATAATAATAATAATAATAGATATATGAAGACTCACAACAATCATGGAAGGAAGGGTATGTGAACGTGTTGATGATGATAAAAATAAAAGAGAAATTCACAATGAGAAATAGTTAGGTGGAAAGAGCAGAGGCCACGGCATGAAAGTCAGGTTCAGGTCTGCCGAACGGTGTTTCAGGATAGGTGGAACTCATTCTATAGGCTATCACTGCCAGTCACCGTGTAGGTTCAGCTAGAAAGGTTGATAAGATATATTTCTGTGTTACAAAATATTTTAGTGAGCATGAACCTAAAATAATGCTAAAATATGAAGCGCGGTATCATTTCGAACGAATTGTCTACGAGGTATCGCGAGCTTATCAGTTCAATACAACAAATTGAAAGCATTTAGGTTGGAAAAAAAGGTAAATTTGTTTGTTCTAATGACACTTCAGCGAATTTCTTTTTACGTCTTATCGTATCGTTAAATGTTTTTAATTAAGATAATGATTAAAATAATGATGAGCAAGAGATTTGAGCAGTTCCATCTCGCGATTGGAACGTTCTCAAGTTGAAGGGTCATCAAAAAAGCTTACATTTTGGTAAATGAAAAAAAAAATGTGATTGAGATTCTCTTACTAACATTCTATTTCCCTCTTAGTCTCTGTGACTTTCTCTCTCTCTATTTCTCACCATATTTCTCTCTCTGCAATTCTCTCTCTCTCTCTCTTGACGTTATGCAACATCGGAACACTTAAACAAACAATTCTCATCAAATATGGTCAGATAACTATTACAAATCACTAAATTATCCTATATTAACCAAAAACAGAAACAAACTCGTTGTGTGAGAGGATGAAAGGAACAAAAAAAGTTTTTGAAAAGCCAAGTAGCATGAGCCGAGGTTGTGAAGAGCTGTGTAAGAAATGCAACTTTTCCGTCTGTTTACCAGAAAATTGGTGAGATGAACGGCCTCGAACAGGTCAGAGATTGACCTGAGAAGAACGTTTTTTTTCCTTTTTTTTTGAAATAATTTGTTTATTTATTTGTTTTCATTTGAAACATTTGCCGTCATACAATGACTCTTCTGTCTCCGTATGTTTATTGGAAGTTTGATCTTATTCTCTTTGCTCATTCCCCCCCCTCCTCATCGCTTCCTCTATTGTCAATCCACCTCTGTGCGATCTTTCCGTTTCATAATTTTTCATAACTTTTGCAAGTTTTTCAATTTTTCTAACACTCATTTGAACATTAATCTAGCTGATTACATCATTAAAACTTTTTTATTCTTTCTGGTAAAATGTGTTCGGTCCAAGCAATACTGTCTTGGATGATGATTGCGATGTCAGCTCGCCTGATAACTCGTTTCATTACATTTCAAAGAGTTGGAAACAAAAAAAGAAAGAATAATACTATTTCATATTGTTTATCAATTTCTTATAATATTCAAATAGTTGAACTGAATGTACATGAATAGACTGACAAGAAATAAAATGAAATGAAAGCATTCATCAAATGACCGTTGGCCGATTTTTCATGTCAAACGTTCTTTCTCTTCTAAAGATATATGATGTGGATACTTGAGTGTTCAACCCAACAATATAATATGTGTAAAAAAAGAAAAAGAAAATCCTATCAGCTTAAAAGTCAAACACAGATAGCCCTGGAACAGCTGAGTGATATTGTCTCTCTCCTTTATGATTGACGCATTAGAGTGGTTATGTTGTGACGGTATCAGCTATGCCGTATATGAAACCAAGAGAAAATAAATTTTTTCTGTGCTCCAATGTTAATTTGTCCGGTTATTAATTGATTATCTCATAAAATCATTTATACACATACAAATATCTTTATCTGATTACGAAAAATCAGTTTGATGTCTCTGGAAATTAGCAGGATGAATAGATTACGTGAGAGTTGCACGTGAATTTGCATGTGAAAAGCAAGCAGCTTCTTATCATTTCTTTTTTATAAACATGCTGAACGGTTGGTTTTAAACTGTTTTTCTCACTTTCTCTCACATCTCTCAGTCTTTTAACTTTCAATTTGTAACGTGTATGTTCATGAATGTTTCTGTTCGTTTAACAATTGAATCTTCACTACTTTAAATCTTTTTCTCTCTCTCTCAAATCATTACAGTCACTGATCGGTGTCGTTTAATGCCAGGCACCAAGGTGTTCTCTCAAAATGCAAACAGCAAACACAAATAAACAACAGTTGAACGGACGAACGGTCATAGGCTAACTGGCCAGAAGACAGACGAACGGACATCGAAATATCATCAGAAGTGAATACTATACATGTATGTTCGAAGAGAGTTAGAGTAAAGAAGATGAGATGCAGAGAACTAAAAGTATTGAGTGGCGGTACATTTACATCCACCTAGCTTGTTTTATTCGTTTCTTTCAGTAACTCTTTATATTCTTTTCACCACTCTCCCACTCATTCTCTCTCTCTATCTCTGTCTCTTACTCATCATCTCGTCAACCTTCTCTCTCTCTCTCTCTCTTGTATTCTTTCAATGTTTTTACTTGTTTTCTTTATGTTTATCGAGGAACATCGCAACTTTTGTAACGAATAAATACCTGACGGTTGACCGATTTAGAAGTTGCGTGGCTGACCAGCATTCAATCGTTCCTTTTTCAAGTTTTTTAAACATTTGGGATCAACAAAATATTTTTTTTCAATCTAAAGAACAACACAGATGAGGAAGTATACAATCGGGAAATAAATAAAGTTTAAAAACAATTTGATTTTTGAAACATTTCCTAATTAGGTGTCATCTTTGACATCTTACGTCATTGTATGTGAAAACCCGTTTTGACTGAGTTCAGAAGCAAAAGAAAAAAGTTTTTTCAAGGTTTTCATCATCATCATCATCATCATCATCATCACAGTTAATGCATTTTCTATTTTTATATGGAAAAAAATGAAGAAGAAGAAGAAGAAAAACGTCGTCGTTATTAGATTTCAGAATATATCAACTCGGTCATGCACTTGCTAGAGATTGGAAAAGAAAAACAAAAAGTGAGCATTTTATTAATTTTTGAACAATTTCGTTCAAAATAATAGTAAAGACAACAAAAGCATAACAAGATATACCAGTCACCTAGCTGATTAAGCTGAGAATATTCATTTTCATTCCTTTCATATACGTTTAGGCAACTGATTTTACCTCCCGAGTACTGGGATTCTGAAAGCGAACGAACAGATAATTATTCACCGATGCTTGTTTCAAATTCTATCAACTCACAGATTGTTTAGACAATTGACTTGTTTCCCTCCGAACAACTGACGGCATTAAGCTTCCATCATCGGACCCTGAGATTGAAACTGAAAAAAAGAAAAAAAAGTTTAACGACATAAGATGAACATCAAATAATGATTTGAATAACCTTGCACATTATATGAATGAAGACCCTGTCTCTCTTCATCAGAAGCTGGGCCAGCTCTGGAACAAAAAGGACGACATTCCATTAAATAGCAATATAAAATAGATAAAGGAATAATGACACCTTAAATAAGATTTATAATTTTCATGTACAGTTATCATTTCTACTCTAATCACTTGGAACTACACATGTTCTTCTTTGCTCTCTCCCTCTCTCTCTCTTCCTCCCTCAATCGTACTCTAACACATACTAATGCTTACCTGTGCCTACGGCTAGAACTATAATTCCGGCAAATAATGAAATATTAAGTTTACACACGTAAAAATCAGAATGACCAGCTAAAAGGCAATGAGAAAGACTTGTTGTACAACTCTCCTCACAAATTTCCTGTAAATAAATTTGAATAATAAATGAGATTTTATGAGAATCTGGCTGTACCAAAGAGCTGAAAATTGGAAAAGCTGTACTCATTTCACATGATGCATCTAGCTGATATCTCCAGCCGTCAGGACTGCAAGAACACAAAAATGAAAATTATAAATTCGAGCATATGAAGAGAATAGAAAAAAAAAGTTTTTCTATATATTAAACGAAAAAAAGAAATAATACATATATATTTAAATGACGGAAAGGCCAAGAGAGAGAGAGAAAGAGATTGGAAGAGAGAGAGAAGGGCTACGTATGAGAATAGGTGATTTGAATTCAGATGTGTTCTTCGCCCACTTCAAACCGTTTCAATCATTCATGAACTTCACTCTAAGTTTTCAGTCATTTTAATGAAAAAACAACATGAAAAAACGTTTTGATTTCTGAAAATGAAATGATTGGCATAGCTATTTCTCATATTTTCTCATATTAACACATGAATTATTGAATCTTAAGTATCAAATATCATCAAACGATTCAGTTAAGCCATATGAAGGGATATACCGGCTGTCGAGGAAGAAGAAAAAACATTTTCTTTGAATGCTTTCACTTGAAATATCCTTTATAGGTGCACAGTGATCATTCGGTACCGTGAACACAACCGTTCAACACACAGTCATCTAATCAAAATGAAAGGAGCTTACACGTGTTGGTCACGTCATTTTTCACGTGAAATCAATGTATTTAAATGATCGGAAGTAGGTATGTCTATAGGATAGAGGGTGGAGAAAGAAAGAAAGAGAAAGAGAAAGAGAGGGAGATTTCTGATCGAGAGGAAGAAAGAAAAAAAATGGAAAATTCCATTGTATTAGGATAATTTTGTGAAAAAAAAAGAAAAGAAAAGGAAAATGAAATGAGAATAGGAGTTCAGACATAGTAGAATAACAGTGATCTTGATACAACAATAACAACGATGTATCAATATTTCCTGGAAAATGTTTCATAAGATAGGAAAGAGCAAAAGAAAAAGAGAAAAAAGAAAAAAAAACGAAAATTTTAATTTAAACAACGAAACTTGAAGAAGGAAAATTGGATTGGATAAGGATAATGTTTTCAATTCTCTCTCTCAAACCATTCTATGGTTGTTTCTCCGGATTTTGGTCATGCCTTTCGAAAAATAAAGTTCAATGGAGTAGTTAAGGAGAAGGAAAGAAGCACAGAAAACAGTTGATAAATAAAGATTGTTTCAGATGAGTTAAAGGATGCAGAGAATAAGGAGCAAGATGAGGATGATGCAGAAGCTGTAGATGAACGACTGAAGCATATATGAAGAGATGGAGGATTGGACCAATAGAATTTTGCTTTTTATATATATATTTTCTTTTTTTTTCTCATCTTTACATCCGAAAACAGATAACTTTTAACATTTTCAAAAACGATAGGCGAGTGTATGGGGGATGAGAGGATGAGATGAATAGGAGCATTAAAGATAAGACACACACATCACATACACATCCACTATAAAGGAAGAACTAAGAACAAAAAAAGGGGAAAAGAGCGAGAGATTCACAAATCAAATTACGACAACTGGAGAGTTCTTCACAAACAAAAGGTTAAATGATGCAAAAACAATAAATGTGTGAGAATACAATATGAAGACTTTTCAATTCTTTCTTTCTAAGACCAACATGTTCTTACTAACTATTATGGCTTCTCGTTTTTCAAACGAAATTTTCCTTTTTTTTTCTTCTTTCATATATCTTTCTCTCTCCCTCTCTCTCTTCCTCCTTTTTTACATGTCTCTCTCTTTCTCTCTCTGTGTTACTCTCCTTATCCTTCCCTCGCACTCTCTTCATGTCTTCTCTCATCTTTATCCTCTATCTACTCTGCCGATACTTTTCGAAAATTGGACAACCAAAAAGGCATTGGCATTATGAAAAAAAAATGAATGAAATGAAATGAAGTTAAAATAAATTTTGCAAATATTCACAGAATGACGTGACCAGCAGTTTTTTGAACCAAAAACACATGGAAATAAGGCGCTGCAAAGGTTATTCGAAGATAACAGATAATAGAGGGAGAGCAAAAGGTGAGAGAGAGAATGAAAGAGTAAAGGAGATAGAGAAAGAGATGTACAGATGAATAGAGATAGAAAGAGAGTCAAGAAACACTTTTGATTTTTCAATTTTGAGCTCTTTCTTATTCTTCCTTTCTCTTCTAACTCTCCTCATTTATCTTTTTCTCTTTTTAATCTCTCCCTCTCTCTCTATATTTCTCTACGTCTTTCAACCACTCATGGTATTTCGTTGAGAGAGCTTGAAAATCAGACGTCACGTCGACAACTATGTCGACGACGAACAGCATGTCGTCTGACGTGTTCAACGCTTAGTTTCAGAAGAGGTTTACGATGATCAGCTGTGAGTTAGCCAGTATGAGAGTATTCAACCGCTTCTCCTTCTGCCTCTAACTCTCTGCTTAATCTAACTGAATCGTTCAGAATGGCCAGTTGGTATTGTGTGCATGTAAAGTCTCGCAAAAGGTTCTTTCATAAGATGTTAGAGTAGAAGATGAAAAGTAAATAAATTTGTGGCAGAAGCGAAAAATCTTTTTTGGAAGAGATTAGTGTGAGTGTTAAGAAGTCAGCACAGAATGATTGAGAGGGTGAGGAAGAGCATAAAAAAAAGTTGGCGACGATGATAAATGCGTTATCGAAAGGCGCAAAAATTGATAATGAGATGGTCAACAGGGAAGGAGAAGCACTTTGAAGAGAAAAAAGAAAAGTAGAAGGATGGAGGGAGGGTGGGATGAAGGGAGGAGAAATGTGAGGGAGTGTAAAAGCTCTTAACCTAAAAGAACATCTAAAAACAGTCGAAAAGTTCATTTATTTGAATATTTTGTTTTGAAAGTTCACTCAAATCCAATTTTTTCCACTTTTTTTCTTCTCCTTCTCATATAATTCATACTTGAAGTATTCGTTTGGAGGAAAATTTTCTATTTTTTTTCTCCTCATATAATCCAAAAAACTTATTCGTGTCAAACATCATCAACAAAGAAAAACTTGAGGTGAACTGGAGGAAAGGTCAACGGAAAGCGAACGGAAACCGGAAAAAGGCTTTTCATTTTTTCTTTTTCCCATCATTGCTCATATTCATATTCGCAACAACATTATGATGGCGGATACCGAATTCTTCTGTGAAAAGAACTTTCTGAATATGAGAAGTTCAGATTGTTGTTGATGTTCCGAAAATGAAATGCTGAGAACTTACACGTACGTATGTGTGGGCCATAGGATATTCACAAAAGATAATGAATATGTCAGCACATGATACGGAGATGGATTGAAAGTTCACAAAAGGAAAAAGTTGCCATCTAGGATAGATAATAAGAATTCAAAGATAATTGACCTAAAAATAATGAGAGAAAATGAGTAGAAGAGCGGAGGCGACAGAAAAGAAAGTAAAGAGGGTGGAGTGTTTATACCCAAATATGTGCAGGAACTTTCATGGTAATAAGTCAAAGTAAAGGACAAAAACGCCTCAGATCTATATAGGCTTAAATGGTGTGAATAATAGCTCTTGAACCTCAAGAGATTCAAGATCAAACAGATTTCGGACCATATGAGAGATTATATAGTCTCCCTCTTTCTCTCTTTCTTTCCATTTCTCTCTCTCTATCGTCATCTCATTCATTTTCTTCTACTTATTCTCTTCTTTGCAGTTTTCTTTTCTTCTCTTTTTCTTTTTTTGCAGTTTTTCATACAAAACTTAAAGATTCAAAACAAATTGGCCATGTAACATAATGTTGTGAAAAGCAAACGAGAGAAGGTTTACGAGCTGAATTAAGATAATTACAAGTCTAAGAGGAAGAAGGAAGTCAATCCATTTAAGGAAGTTTCATGAATTTTTGGCAAAAAGCCGTCAAGAAAGTCATTGGGCAATGATTGCGGGGGTTATCTTCCGCTCAATGCTGACCGGAAAACATCTGAATACCTTGTGTGAAGAAAATTTTTGCAAAGATGAAGGAACGAAAAGAGAGGGCGAGAGAGAGAGAAATGGAAATCGTAAGAAATAAAAATGGAAAGATAGAGAGGTAGAGAGATGAAGAGAGAGAGGGAAAGAGACGGAATAAAATATTTTGATGATTTGAATTTCAGAAGAAAAAAATATTTTTTCAGATAAGCGAAAGTGAATGAAACGCAAAATCAAGAAATCATCTCTATATTTAGTACTTTGTATTTGAATTAATAAACATAAATTTGATGCGAAGAATCCAAAGATGACAAAGAGATATAGAGGAGAAAGTTATTGAAAAATGCCTCAAAAATCGCACCGACGAATATGGGAAATTCAATTAAGAATCTGAAAAATAAGCTGAAAAAAGTATTTTTGATATCTCTGCTAACATATTCCGGGTTATCTTATTAGAGAGGAAGAGGGAGAGAGAGGAGGAGGTAAATATACATATGTATATCGTCATGAACAGTAGTACAACGGAAGAGAAATATATAGAGAGAATAGCTGTATATGTGATTACAGAGAGAGAGAGAGAGAGATGAAAAGAGAGGGTAAGACAGAGAGATTCCTCTACAGAATGTCGTCATCCTTATAAGACAGAAGAGGAAGAGGGAAGACATGAGAAGGAGGTTCAATAAAACCCTTTTTGAATTCATTGTTTAACAATAACAAATGTTCATATAACTTAATATTTCTATTGATTATTAATAATTGAATACCAGCTGATTCTTATTCATAATTAGTTTATGTGTTTTGCGACTTTCTTTCTTTCTACTACGTGAGAGGAGGGAGGGGTAAAGGATGTCTCAATGAAGGTTTCCTAAGCTTCAAAGGGTCTAAGATGAGGTCATTTTAGGGGGAAGATGACATATTTATCTGTTAAAAATCTCTTTTTAGCTGATAAATAAAGTGGATAATTCATTTACATAAAAGCAAAAAGCGAAAAAGGCAATTTGCTTTCAAACAACACTATCCTTATCGCAAAGCTTAAAGAGGCGTAAAAGCTATTTATTTTATTTGTTTTTTATACTTTCTATATCTTACATGCGACATCGTCTTCTCTCTCTCTCAAGAAGCCATTTTTTGAATCTGTTGATGGTAAGATAGGAGAGTGTAAGTGGAGGGGGATGGAAGTGATGCATGAATGCGATGGATGCATTCATCAAGCAATTGTAGAATAAAGTAAAAAAGAAGATCAAGTTGACATAAAGTTTTATAATTTATAACATGAAATTGAGATTGAAGCAAGTAAGTTTGAAATAACATGTTGATCTGACGGGCAACAAACCCTCCCGTAAGACCCTGTTCCATACGGCCCCACCCACCCATTTCGTTGCCTTCTACTTCCCCCCCCCCCCCACCCGAAAAAGCTCTCTAAAAGCCTTCTCTGCGATGACATTATAGGTGTTTTTGCTTTGACAAAAACGTTTTCCTTGAACAGTTAGTTCACGCCTTTTCATATTTTAATATAAGAAGCTTCTTCGACATCAAATTAGTTGAAATGCACTGATGTAGAAGAGCGTTTTCCCAGAACAATTTTTCATTTGAGCTTCTCGTTCATGTAAGTGAGATAGAAGTAAGAAGTCGGATTAGAGAGTGGAAAAGATGATGAGAAAGAGAGGGAGAGAGGGGAAAAGAGAAAAGCTGAAGCAAGATAGTTGTACGGATATCCGTTTTTTCGAGATAAATAAACGTACTTGTGAATAAAAAATAAAATTAACAAACTACTAGCATTTCATCTTTGCAATATCTAAACTGGTGATGTTGAAACACAAAAATGAAGAAATAGAAAGAATGTATAAGAGAAGACGACGAAAAAGAAGAAGAAGATGAAGAAGAAGAGGATGAAGAGAGAATTCTTCTTTCTGGCTAAGGCCTTGCTCGACCAATGAGATTTTATTTCAGTTTTTGGTCGAGTAAAATGATAACTTCCTCTTTCTTATTCATAATTCTAGATTTAACAACAGAATTATTTCAAAAACATTTAGTTTCTTAATACCAAAATACTAAGTATTTTTGATGATCAAAGATGATGATCGTCTTAGGTGAATTATTGTCATTGAGAGCAAGCAAGCAAGCAAGCTGCTAGTCAGCCTCTCCATTCTCTTTCTATTCGTAGAACTCCCTCCATTGTATTTCTGATCGGACTTGTAACCATTTTTGTAAACAAAACTTTTAAGAAATAATTATATTTAATTTATGTTAAACAAAGAATACAAAGAAGGAGAAATATATGTATAGAGATATCTATAACTAACTCAAAAAAAAAACTTTTTATTTTACTTTATATATTTATAAATAATAAAAAAAATGAAGATTTACTTGATTTTGTGAGTTGTGTTCATGTTCATTTTCTATTTTCCAGAGACAAACTCGACTTTGCCGTAGCAAATGACTCTCTCTTCGTCCCAACCTTCCCCCCCCCCTTTTCTACTCTTCAGATTATAGATGAATTGCTCTAGGAATGTATGAATTGATTCTTAAAAATCAATTTAAAACTTATATAGTTAATAGATTTGTTTTCAATGAGATAGATTTGCATTTTCTTACTGAGTATTCAAGGTTTATGCTAATTTCACGTGTAGCGTCACCTCAGTCACGTGACTTAACGTCTCATTTACGTGCATGTGGACAATAAGAAGCGGTTGTTATTTTTCTTCATTTTTTTAAATAAATAATTTGAAATTGAAGGTTGAGAATGAAAAAGAATCTGTGCTGAAAAAGCTGATTTTAAAAATATCTTTCAGAATAGAGATATGCAAATGAAATTGTGTCATTAAAATAATAAATTATTTTATTTTTAATAAAATATTAGCTTGTAAAGTATGTGCGGAGCATTTCGTAATGATTGCTATCGTTTTGATATACATCTGTAATCAGTTTAACTGTCTCTGATATTCAAAGAAAAAAATATCTAAAAAAGGTAACGTACTGTGAGTCATGCCGGAACGTGGGGGCTCCTCCTACCTTTCCCTTTGACTATTTCAAGACGGTGTTACTGATTGTCCTATCAGTTTCTGAACTTTCTGAGCACCCTCCTCCAAAATAATAATAAGCTATGTATTCACTTATATTCATTATCATATCATCAGTCTCGCTTACATTAGCTAACTATAGAGATTTTGCTGATTTTACGCCTCAAACTTATCCAGATTCTATGAAAGATCCATGTATGTCCAATCTCCCTTTGATGAATGAGGAGAATAAAATATTTTTGTTTTAGTTTCTTGCAATATTCTGGAGCCAGGGTTTCTATGTGATCCATCTGAGATAATTCCCGCTGATCAAAGTGAGACCTAATACAGTTTTTGTTAAAAATTATTTTTTATCATCCTAGAATTGAACTTAATGCATAAGCTTGTTCAAGCTCAGAACAAGACACATTGTGCATGTAGAGAAATGGGAATCGGACGAGGTGATAATCTGAATATGAACATATGAATAAATGATTTTTTCCTGCTGTAGGCTGTGATTCAGCGAAACTTGGATATATATTTTCGATCGCCGTCGTAAATAAGATGAAGTTGAATCCAGATGAGCAGTAAGTTCATATTTTTCATTATAATTGTTGTTGTTGTTGTTTGTGTACATATGGTTGAGATGAAGATGATGGAAGAATCTGAGACGTTCCCTTTTCTCAATAACTTCCTTTCAGTTCGAATGATCAAGTATACCGAGCTGCAAGTGTATTTGCCAATACGTTAAGAGAGCAATGGAATAGGGGACATTGTGGAGATGATATTGTCATTTTTTATTCCAAATCTGATAATGTGGTAAGTATTCAGCAAATATATTCAAACTTTACGTCCCGTCAATCGAATATTTGCCTTTTTCATGGTTATCACCAAAGAATATGTGTGTTGTTTGCGTTTAGGCCCATTTGTGGAGTTTAAATGTCAATACCATATTCATAAACTTCGAAGGGGAAAGTATAAACGAAAATGACTATTTCATTTCCTCCTTCCCTAACGTGTTATAAAACAAAAAAAAATCAAATAAATGCTATGTCTTTCAGCTTTACGATGCTCAAGGTCCAGCAGTACAAGTCGATCAGGAGAAAATCAAGAAAATATTGAAAGATGGAGGTGAATGCAGACTGTTCAATCAATAATAATTATTATTGTTCAGAATATTTAATTAAGAAGCAGAAATATGAAGAAGCTTTCACTACCATCATTGATAACTACATCAATGTGCTAAATGGACAGAAATTGAATCTGAAACACAGTACGTGATATTCTCTTATTTAAATAAGTTATCTGTGGTCATTATAGAATGGTACTCTCCACTACCATTGTGGGTTGTGATTGTTATAGGCGTCATTGTGGGACTTATCCTTATCGCAGCTATTACTCTCGCTATTTTCCTTATAGTTAATAAGTGTTGTAGACGTGATGCCAGAGGAAATTATACTCCTGCATCAAGGTTATAAATCGAATTGTGGTTTATAATAATAAAAAGATCTCTCTATCAGTTGTACGTTCGTTCTTTTTTGACTTGACTTGTGTTTACTTCGTATATGAAATTGAAAACTTGATGTTATATTCAGAAAATCTCTTCACAATCTACTCATACTCAGAAACTATTCAAGTAGTAGTTCTTGAAGATTCAATACGCCTTTACTTAGAAACTAAAATAGATGGATCGTTTTTTTATTTCTGAGAATCACTTTGAATCCTCAAAAGCTATTGACACGCCAACAATCATGCGATTTGAGGAAATTTGTTTTCTGGACTTTAGAGTGTTCGTTGAGCTGATAGAGGCATATTGCCCTCGCGAAGTACTAAATGCTGCTGAAGTTTTCCTATAGCTAAGGTTCAGTAATGTGGAAATAATCCGTGAATGTAAGGCTCTTCTCATCCAATAATTCTTTCATCGTGAATTTCTAAAAATGTTTCGAAAAAAAGAAAAACGATGCTCAAAATATTTAAACAGAGGAACCCAAACAGAGAAACGAATGAGAAAGGTGTTTACAGCCACAGAAACGAATAACAGACGAGAATGGTGCTGTGTTACGAAATAAAATTCTGATAATAGTGAATTTCTTTGATAAAACGATTGTCTTGCATTATAATTGATTTAGTTATCGAATGCAAAAATGTGAAGCCCGATGCGGGGCTCGAACCCGCGACAGCCAGATTAAGAGTCTGGTGCTCTACCGACTGAGCTAACCGGGCTATACTTCTCT